GCATAATCTGAATTTGCATTTATATATATTATTTTTAACGAATGGATCAGTCGTGAGGAGGCCATTGTGTTAGAGCTTAGCACTGGTAATGAACTGGCCTTTGACGGTAAGATCCGCATGCTAATTCTGGTACGCAAAGTATAGAGATCATGCACGGAAGAATGGCCGCAGACACGATGCCAAGAGCGTGGTTTACGCAATTTCTTGAGCGGGGTATAAACCACACGGAGAGCCAAGCTATTACTCTGCGTGGAATCTTTTCTACAAAATTGGTTTCCTTTCCTGACAAAATTACGACTGAGGAAATCCAGTCCACGCAATATGCTCGAGTCACGGGTATATGTGTGTGCTAAACTTGAGATATGTTTCAGGCAAGAACACGAGATGTAACCGGTACGTCCACAAAAAGCTAATGGCACACTCCACACGCAGAAGTCCTAAACATCTCAACTGTTTGCCCCGCTGAAATATCACAGCTGCTCAGTCGTGGTTGGTTCAGGCAGGTGTGAACTATCTTTGACAGTGATAACATACAGCCCGTTGCAATCTACTGCTGGATGAAGGCCTCCTCATATTCCTCCACGTTGGTCAGTGCATGATGTACTTTGGCCGCATGTACGTATGTTGAACTTATTTTGCATCGTACGTAGCCAACTGTGCTAATCAGAGGACAACAAACGAAACACAAAAAGTGCATAGCTCCAGTGGCTTCCTAACATCGAAAGAAAGAGCGTTCCAAACGGCCGCAGCGCACGTGAAAGCGCCGCTTGATGTGGTGAGAGCACCGTCTCTGTTCGATGGCCAGCCACGAGCCGCTGCTGCGAGGATGACCACCGGAGTTTCGTGATGGTGGTTAATGCTCCATGACGAGATCAACAACGTTGTGTTGTTCATTTGTGGCAAGCACTTTGTGTGTAACGAGTGGGACCTTAGAATGTGTTCGTTCGAAAGGCGCCTCCTCGCCCTGAGGGCGAGTGTTTGTGTGATTCACCAACCCTCACATCAGATGAATGAATAACAGTTATTTGTCATTTCACCGCTGGATGACGGATTCCCACGTGTTTTTGGCTCAGGGGCAATGCTGGACCATACTTCACCGCAGTCGTCAGTGTAGTTTCTGTGAAAGGTGCCTCGGACCGATTCAGGTGTCACTCGTCACTGACGCTAGCCGGGGCCAGGAATCGAACTCTGGTCACCAGGTTCACAGGACAGGGCGATGACGACTTTGCCAATGCTCCCCCCCCACCCCCCTCAATAATTATTTGCTTTGTAAAAAAGTGACCTCTCCGCAAAATTTTAGTTCCGTAATCATACACGACCGAGAGCACGCGATTATACACATTTAAAGCGTTATTCTACGATGTAATGGAATGTAAAGGAGTTGCAATGGGTCAGGGCAGTGAAGATGAGGCAAGAGGCACAATGTTTGTGCTGCCCTCTAGTGTCTAACGCCAGACATCGCAGCACGTGACTAATGTATCTGCCCAAGATGGGAGTTTTTAACATCTGCTCTCTCACCAATATCAAGGGCCATTAACCTAGCGCTGACAATGTGTGTCTGCTCACAACCTCGCATAACCCAGTAAGCCGGTGTACCGGTTAGTAGAACACCATTTGTTTGATGTGTTTCTCATTATGCTTTATCTACTTCCTTAATGAAGGTGTCGGGGTATCATTGCCCAAAGCGTCTGGAAGACTCAAGGGTTGGGGGGGGTGGAAAAGGAACTAAAAACTTTATCGCAAAAGCACCGTCAGTTCTGCGTTACAAACTCCCTCGCCGCCGTGTCGCGCATCTCTCGCGCGGAACGAAACGTCGGACACCACGCCGAATGACACGTGGTAGCAACCCGTAAAAACACACCGGCGATCACGCTCCCTTCACATTGTATATATTCCATCAGGGCCCTTAATATCTTGTGATCTCCAACACGCTCGCTTTTGTTAGCGTGCCACACCCAAGCTATGTGCGGCACGCCTTGCCACTTGAAATCAGGCAATCAGAGTCGGGAGATAGATTAAAGTGTTCATATTCTGAGGTTTTTTCGGTAAAGTCACGTAGGTAAAAAATTAAATTTAAATTAATAAAAGTAAAATAAAAAATAAAATAAAAATCACGACGTTTCGGAGGCAACACAAGCCTCCGTCTTCAGGTGGAACCGTCACAGCACGATAGCTGCATCGAGTAATTTTTTATTTTATTTTTATTTTACTTTCATTAATTTTAATTTTTTTACCTACGTGACTTTACCGAAAAAACCTAAGAATATGAATCCTTGCAGTCACGAAAGCTTCAAATCTAGAATTAGATTAAAGTCTGCTTTGTAAAGCCCATCTCTTTCAAGCAGCCTTCCCTCTTCAGTCGGGTCGGTTGGCCCGGTTCTGTTTTTGATTCCTGCTTTGCATTGCGTTATGATGATGATGATGGTGGCAGCCGTGAAATGTGCAGTCCTTTGTCGCTCCACTGCTGGATGAAGGCCTCCCCCCATGCTGTGCTGGTGGTGGGAGTTTGTTTAGATCACACATCACCACACGGTTTGGTTCATGAGATCACGGGACCAGTTCAGATGTCACTTTCCGCTATGTTGGCCGTAGCTGAGAATTGAACCTGGGTGGCTGCGTTCATAGCGCGGTGTGCTAATCACCGTGCCACCACTCCTTTTAACAATAAAGTTTTTTTATCTTTAAAGATTGCCTTAAGTTGCATAATCATGCATTTGATGCGCCAACAATTAGCGTACCTTTGAATAAGTGGAGAGGTGAGCCCAACGACCTGAGTTCGATTCCTGACAATGGTTCAACATTGGTGGAGATGGATAGGTGGACTTGTGCAAATGATGGTTGGTGGTGGAGAATAATGGTGGCGTGGCAGCCAAGGGCGGGAATGGAGAAATTCCACCATGGAGATCGCAAACGGCGGTGGTGGTGACTTTCAGAGGCCCTCATCCAGCAGTGGATCGACCAATGGATGATTATGATGATGTTCTGTATGCGATGTGTTGATGTCACCTCTACAGCCACTCGAGGTTGTTGCCATTCACCAGAGGTGGGACAAAGTCATTGTTATGCAAGTCCAAGTCGAGTCTGAAGTCATCAAATTCATGACTCGAGTCTGACTCGAGTCCAAGTCACATGACTCGAGTCCACACCTCAGAGGTGGGACAAAGTCATTGTTATGCAAGTCCAAGTCGAGTCTGAAGTCATCAAATTCATGACTCGAGTCTGACTCGAGTCCAAGTCACATGACTCGAGTCCACACCTCAGAGGTGGGACAAAGTCATTGTTATGCAAGTCCAAGTCGAGTCTGAAGTCATCAAATTCATGACTCGAGTCTGACTCGAGTCCAAGTCACATGACTCGAGTCCACACCTCAGAGGTGGGACAAAGTCATTGTTATGCAAGTCCAAGTCGAGTCTGAAGTCATCAAATTCATGACTCGAGTCTGACTCGAGTCCAAGTCACATGACTCGAGTCCACACCTCAGAGGTGGGACAAAGTCATTGTTATGCAAGTCCAAGTCGAGTCTGAAGTCATCAAATTCATGACTCGAGTCTGACTCGAGTCCAAGTCACATGACTCGAGTCCACACCTCTGGCATTCACTGCAGTCAGCAGTGACTCTGTTTGGTAAGAGGGAAATCGTACGCTTCTAATAACCCGAATAACTAATATCAATGAAGTATTGAAAATTAACATATTTCCTTAAACGCCATTTAAGGAATAATTTCAAACTAGATTTAACCACGTGAAAAAAAATGTGTTTAACATTATAAAAAGCACGCATTGACAGCTGTTACATGCATGTACTCGGCAGAGGTTGAAGTAAATAACGTTTCTCTCAGTCTGCTCAGACTCATGGGGCATACATGTGGAACCCAGAGTGTCCATTCTGAGTTTTAAAAGTAAATGTTAACGTACTGTTCTGAACAGTACTGCACACATTAGAACCAAGTTGATTCCAGTGAAAATACCATTCCACCTACGGACAATTTTAACCACGTAACATTCAAATGCTTCAGCCCTCATTATGCAACACAATGACTCTATACTTCCTAAAATGAGTCGATGCTATTCCTTCCTTAAATGAGCCGAGTCCCTTACCATATAAGGCGAAGTTAGTCAAACTATGTTTTTGTGGGTAATTCCCAAATGTGGTCTTATAACGACTCACTGTATGGATTTTTTTATCACTTCTAAAATATCACTGCAAACATTCCGCTTATCGACATCATCTTCAAACTTCCGTGGTTCAACTGAAATTTTGTTGAGTTTATTATTGAGTTAATGCCACTCGAAAAATATATTGCTGGATAAAAAATAATAATAATAATAAAAACCAGATACAGCTACAGATGTATGGTTTTCTGAAGTGAACGGTATCAATTTGCCAAATATAGCACCCATCGCTTTATAGAGATGCCTTCATGTGCAGGGCACGTAAACACACGCCCGCACATGCAAGGGCACTTTACTATACGAGCAGCAGTTGCCTATCTCCACTAGCCAGAGGATGAAAACAAATTCTCACGTAGAGAATCGCAGCCTTCTGCTGCTGTTTAAGATATACATTAAAATAACATACAGATTTATATCTTAACTTGAGATTGTGGCCGAGCGATCAAGTGAAATTATAATTATTATGCTGCTTTAGCCAGAAAGGTCCGAGTCTAACGACAATTATAGAGCAACTCAAATTTGCACATAATGATTGAAACAACCGCTAAAAAAATCGGAGTGCAGGCTATGAAACAATGCGATCTAAACAACAACACGCAAAGATGTGAATTCACCGCACACAAGCTCTCACTCTTACGCAGACCATCAGCTCGAGAGGTGCTGCACGTGTTGCTGTCTCATCGCTTTAGACCAGCAACTCAGACGATTTAGAAAACCGTGGCCAACCAACAGGCAGGTCGTCAACTGCAGACGCAACTGACGAAAGCCGTCCACACCACCGCCGTTTTTTAGTTTCGCTGCTGTGCGCGCACTTAACGTGGGCCTCACCGGTGCTTGGGGTCTTCTCAGTCGGCTGTGCAGCTTTGGCCGTAACCTCGTCTGGGTTCGTGGCGTTGTCCGCCTTGTCGTCAGAATCGTTCGAATCTTCTTTGTCAGACTCGGGCTCTCCATCCTCTTTGGGGTGTTTGGCAGCTAGCGGGGAAAAGAAATACGCAAAATATTTATCTCAGAGGAGACAGCTTGAATCCCACCGAAAATGTCTTGTAATAATAACAACACACGCAGATTAACGATATTGGTCAAACTTTTGTAAGTGGACTTCAGACAATCCACGTCACGAGAAAGGATGATCGCCCCTGGCGAAGGATAACCGAGTGACAGACAAGGAAGGAATGCGCGCAACATCCTCGGTGGAGATGGAGCCATGAAATAATGAAGCGTGCAGCTACAATATGGATTATTACGTCAGGTTCGTGGGGTATGGTGACAGTTTGGGGGAAGATTTAATTCAGCAGTGAAATTATCATGGCCGACGATGAACCAATGGGTTTTAGCTTCATTCCGATGTAGGAAAATAAAAATTAGACGCTTGTACTAACACATGCATGGCGCATTAATGCTAAGTAGCTTACCGGATGCGGTGGCTGCTAAATCCAGTGGCACCAGTTCTTGGGAATCCTGACCATTAACCATCTGCAGTGTGAAACTCTGCTTCTTCTACAGCAGAAAACAGAAAATCCAACCGTGCAAATATGTGTTATTCGGCACTGTCTATAATAAAGATAGAGCAATACAATTACAAAAATCTCAACACATTGGTCAATAACACAGGCAACGTTTTGGGCATGTCTCTTATTCATAGCAAATTAGTTCAGATGGGACATTGTCCAATTATATATTTTGTATTTTAAGGCCACAGTGTTGATGATGAATGTGTTGACTTGTTTTATTTGTGCTTGTGCACCACTCAAAAGGCAAATACTTGTTTTTTTAGGTTAACACGTAGGCTTTTGGGACCAATATCATCCAAAATACAGATTTGGCTGCCGCCTGATGATGCTAGTTGTAATTACTGGCGAAACGTCGTACTCAGATTGTAAATGTTGTGGATTGCTCTCCAACACACCGGTGTGCTGTACTCGTAACGAATTGGGATGTTCTGTTTACGTGACAAACCTTACACGTTGGCTGTGTCGGGTGGTGGCGGGTTTAACAACACATTTTTATTTATGCGATCTAACTAAAAAAAACACTGTATTATGGACTTATTATATATATAAAAGTACAGTTCCTCGTCAATCACCTGCTGAATCATCCATGGGGGGTTGTTTTACCATACTTTAACAGTCTGGTCAGTGCAGGATGGTGAAGAGGGATATGAGTATCTGTTCAGATATATCTTGCCACTGATGTTAGCCGTGGCCGGGAATCCAGCTCAGGTAGGTAGACTCACACAGCAGTGCCCAAACCACCGTGCCACCAGTCTGCTCAGCTGTCTCTTCATCTGTCTATATATAGTATCCTATGAGACACTGAATTGCAATTGTTTCACTTAGAACCTAATTCGTAGTATATTTTAAAATGTAGAAAATTAAACAATGCAGAGTGGAGTTTGTTAAATATTAAAAAAACATTACGTAATAAAATATATATTTAAATATGGTGCTGTTTCCAATTAGTCGGTGGAATGGTGGTGCAGCGGTTAGCATTCGACACTGTGACCTCAGTGAACTGAGTTTGATTCCTGGTCCTGGCTAACATCAGTGATATCTGCACCGCGCTCAGCTACCTTTCACCAGTAGTCTCAGTGACCAGCGTGGGGAAGTATGGTCAAACAAACCTCTATAACCAATATAGAGTGGGAGGCCTTCATCCAGCAGTGCAATGATGAAGGGCTCATAATTATGATCATGCATTCCAATTATACATGACTCTTTGGGTCTGTCGGTAAAATAAACGTAGAAAATAAAATATAAAGAGAATACGATGTTTCAGTTGCAACACAAGCAACCATCATCAGGTAAGAATGAATGATAAACGACAGACACTGGAACAGCATAGGCAGACACACATGTTTGTCTTTGTGTGTGTCTCTCTCTGCGTGTGTGTCTGTGTTTTTATCATTCATTCCTACCTGTTGATGGTTGTTGTGTTGCAACCAAAACGTCGCATTCTATCACTACTTGATTTTATTTCCTACGTGACTTTACCGAAAGAACCAAAGAGTAATTCCTGCAGTCACAAAAACTTTGAATCCAATTAGACATGTTTATACATATAACAGAGACAAAAATTGAATGTTAACGATATGTACTTACACGTATCTTCATCCACATGCAGAGCACGGCGATGATGATGGAAATTATAATTATAATAATGACGACGAGAATTACGTACAATAATTTACCTGAAAAAGAAAAGTTTCATGCAAACAAGTTAATCTGTGCTTGGTCACGTGACATCCATTCTGTCCTTTCTTACGAACAAATACAAAAAAAAATCCGGAAGGTTTACGGGTTGATTGACTGAAAGATGTCGATATATTTTAGGAGATATGGAATCGAAGGCAATTTATTACCCAAATTGTTCCAAAAAAGTGACTGGTAAGCTATGATATGATTTAATTTTATTGACTTTTGCACTGATGGTTCATTTAGTAGAGAGGTCACTCACCAACACTTTCCGGAAAAACAAGCAGTATCGCTTAAACACTGCTGGATAACATTGGTATCACATCAGATTACCTGAACTACTGAACAGTGTTTATCTTTTTTGTGGAAATAAGGAATAAATATTTAGATTGTATTTTAGTTACGTATCTATACAACAATACAGGACCAAAAAAATACGGAACAAGGGAGGCTTGTGAACGGATTAATGTATGCCACTGTATTCCACAGCCTTGAAAATGTGATGTCTGTCATTAATTACTGATGCATTGCTTCATGGTTTGTATATATTGCTGCTGTTACGTGTTCTCTTATGATTGATATTTTCTCACGAACCATGAATATATTCACATACGTTTTCCTTCTTCAAATTATACACAATGTTAAGAGATGAAGTTGGGACTGTTATAGAAAACACAAACTTTAAACATTACAACTGCGATAGTGTTGAATTGTAGGAAATGAATTAATAATTCTGTAGCCGGTTTCAATGCAAATTCTGTATGCTTTGCACCGTGAAAGGAGCTTAGAAGTAAAAAAAAATTAACCCGTAAAAACAAAGTTTTTCACTATAAATCCTTTAAATGCGTGGCATCGGTTTTATTTTATTATTCATTTCTGTTTTTCTTGAGTAAGAGTTTCATTTTTATCACATTGGTATTTTAAATTAAATATGAAAAAAAAAATTTCCTAAAAAGTGGAACATTTTGGAGAAAAAAATTTCACGAAAATAAATTGTCGCGCACAACGAGTCTGTGTGCAAAATGTCAGCGCGATTGGATCACGGGAAGTGGGTTAAAAAATGACCGAAAGATTTGCACGGTCGTAAGCGCGCAAGCAAGCAAGCAAGTGAACTTAATATAAAGGATTTAACAAAGTTTATTTCCCGCTAAATTTCATCATTGAGGAGATGTCCACCTCTCGTCTACAGCCTTGAGTCAGTGGCAGAAACTCCACATTCCTAGAGCAACGGAAGTTGATCCAAAGGACAACGAAAATACTTAGTACTTGCCAAAGCTATTGTATAACGTCTTATTATTATCAGAGTTGAACAGGTTCACCAAATTAAGTAAAAAGGCTAATTTAATAAGTTCGGTTTTCATGCAGTCATTCGTGACTGGGCCAAGGACATCAACTCGCCACACGTGAGAACCCAGTTTCATCACAGGTGGCCTGGGCCTGTATTTGAACCAAGGAAGGTCGTGAATGCCACCTCAGTACTTTGACCTCTGAGCAGCATGGCCACTTCTGTGATGCAGCTTTTAAATATACAGAAAGGTACCTACCCTCTGGTTTTAGAGGTGGAGCTGCGCCTGAAGTGGACAAAAAATGGACAGAAAAATGTCATTACATTACACATTATTATTATTACGGTATTTCACAAAGCAAAGTCATTATTTTCCAAAAAATATTCTTGGGCCTATTATAGTGCACATATCGTGCACGTTGCATCATTAATGGTGCATCAAGGTCAAAATTATTTATTTGCTCAAATGAACATTGAGGCAGTGCTGACGTACTGTTTACAGTCATGAACCAGTGGTGGACATTCCATAGTCCTATGACAAGGGGAAGTCTATCCATGGGACAACCACTGTTGACTCAATAAAAAACACGTCATATCGTCAAATCAATGTTATTATTATCCTAAGACTTTGACATTTTTTTACAAATTAAGTAAAAAGGATCATTTCATTCTAGATTTGAAGTTTTGGTGACTGCAAGGATCCATACTCTTTGGGTCTTTCGGTAAAGTCACGTAGGAGCAGATTGATGGAGACTCTTGAAGATAATTTAATATAATAGGTTTTCATGAAACCATTCGTGACTGGCTTAAGAACATCAATTCGTCCCACTTGAGAATCCAGTTTCGTCACAGGTGGCGTGGACCCGATTTTGAACCCAGAAACTCAACAGCACCACCTCAGTAGTTTGACCTCTGAGCCTCCTGGCTACTTCTATGCTTGGAGCTTCAAATGAAGAGAAAGTCACCTACTTTGCGGTGTCTTTCGAGTTGTCGCCTTCGCTGTGGCTGATGTGGAAACAAGAAAGACGTAAGTATGAATTACTTGAAGTAAGAAAATTTCATATTGCACACTCCAGTCCATTACGAATGCGCATTGGTCTGGTCCAACCCATGTGAGACTAGGCTCTATAGAAAGCTGTCTCGGGTGTAGACCAATCAACTTCAAGGACAGTGCATACATTATCAGAGTTATGTTTTTTTTTGCATTATGACTGCAGGTATTGTGGTCTATGCAAACATGACTCCTCGTAAAAAAGGTGTCAGTTTTGTTGCCAGATAAAGGGGTAAAAAACCAATTATCAACAACACTGTTTTGAGTCTGCTGCGGAACTGGCTCAGCCCCAGGGATGGATCCCGAACGTGAGCTGGTAGCGTGCTCCAGGACTTTCGGCCGGATACCCCGAAACTGCGCTGGCCGTATCGCACGCGAGGTTTACACACAGCGGGTACAGCAGCAGGTCGCCGCGAGCTGCGGGTCTTAGTCGGAGTACATTTGGGTGTGTTGAAACTCAGGGGCGGTTTCTTCATTAGGGCGATTGGGCGACGCACCACCAATGTCATTGAACCACAGAGTTACGCTAGCCGTCACTGTCAGCCTCTGGATATAGTCCAATCAGCGTCATGTCACGTTCTGTGGAGTACCGCCTCTTTTTGGGCGATTTCACTCTGGCTGAGAATCGCCCAGAGTGTTCCCATAGACTTACATTCAAAGATGTTTTTTTTCGAACGGCAGGCCCTGCAATGCATTCTCTATGGCTTCCGGGAGGGCTCGCACTAACGTGCTTACGTCATCATACGTAAGCACGTTTCAGTCAACAATATTATTTGTCGCCACCTAGTGGAATCTTTAATAAAAGAAACTGAGTGGATTGTAATAATAGTGAGTATAGAAACAAACAAGATGTATTGTAAGAGTCACTTTATTTTTCATTAATATTAAAGAAGTGAAGTTGCCTTTACATGCTTAAGCTGTTAATTTATCCATTGCATGGGTGGACCTTATCCTTATCAATCATCCAGACATGTGCCCCCCCTGAGAGATTTTGCAGGAGCCGCCACTGTTGAAACTGGTACGCACTGATCGGCGAGATAGGATGGAGCAGATTGATGTAGACTCTTAAAGACGAGTAGTCAGAATTGATACGTGATCCTGTATTTAATAGGAAGCCAGTGCAGCTCATCACGTATCAAACTCGTGACCGGATCATATTTAAACATGATTATTATGGTGTTTCACAAAACAAAGTGATTTTTTTTTTCATCCTGGAGTCTATTTTAGTGCAAATATGGTCCACATTGCATCATAAACGGAGCATCAAAGTCAAAGTGATTTCATGCTTAAATAAGCATTGGGGCAGTGTGCTTATCGTGTTTACATGCCTGAGCCCTTGGTGAACATTCCACATTGCTATGGTCTAGGCAATTCTATCCATAGAACACAATCACTGTTCACCCAAACCATAAAACGTACAATTGTAAGAAAAAAAACGTTTTGATTTAAAGATTTCGTAACTGTAGGGATTCATATTCTTGGTTCTTTCGGTAAAGTCACGTAGAAGGGAAATAAGAAAATAAAAATAAAATATAAAACAATAACATTCTCACGACGTTTCGACTGCAACACAAGCAATCATCATCAGGTGTGAAATCCACAGCAAGAACATTTAACGTCGTGAGAATTTTATTGTTTTAGATTTTTATTATTTTATTATTTCCCTTCTACGTGACTTTACCAAAAGAACCAAGAATTTATTGTTATTATTCACAGCGTTGTAATTTTTTTTTTACCAAATCAAGTAAAAGGGTAAATTTTATACAATCGCATTTTTTTTTGCACGGTCATTCGTGACTGAGCTGGGAACATCAAGCCAGTGGCACTTGAGAACCCAGCATTATCACAGGTGGCCTGCAGCTGCATTTGAACCCACGAACTCATTGATACCACCTCCGTTGTTTTCATTTTCACCTCTGAGCTACCAGTGATGTCGCTTATAAATACAGGGTGCTTCAAAAAAATGTTAACACCTATATGAGACTATCGTTTTTAATGGTAAAAAGAATGGATACTACACTGTAACATGATAAGAAACGTATGTTCATAGGTTCAAAAAGTCAAAGAGTCTCCACTTGTTCGCCATCGTTGTCAACACGTGCCTGGAATCTTCTCCAGGTGGTCTCCAGAGCCCGGAGGCACATTTATTTGGGTATTGTTGCAAATTCTCAGAAGTGTTAACATGTTTTTGAAGCACCCTATATACAGAAAGGTACATACTCAGTGGTTTCTTTGTGGGTGTCGCTTTAGCTGTGGCTGATGTGGGGGAGAGGGGGGAAACAATCGCATAAACATTAATTATTTTAAACATCATGTTTCTAGAAATAAAAATACTTTTACAACTTTTTTAGTTATTTCAGTGCAAAGTGGTACATGTTGCATAGTAAATGGAGCATCAAAGTCAAAAGTCAAAGTGATTTTATTGCTCAAACGAACATTGGAGACAGTGCGCCTCTAATGTTTACAGCCCTGTGCCCGTGGTGGAAATTCCACGTTCTTGTGGCAAGGGCACCTGTATCTATAGGACAACCACTGTTATTAACTCAAACCTAAAAAAAGATTATTGTAAAACCAATTCCATTATCTATTTTCTTCCAAAAGTATTTTTTTATCAACAAAATCATTCAGGTACACAGCACAGAGAATATGAAACCAGGTTGACACCAGCACAAACACATTACAGATTACAGTGAAATGGAAACCTGTCAAAACCACACGTTTCAATGAACTGTTGCAATAAACTCTACAACCCCCTGGTGTACGTAGAGCAAGAGGCAGGAGATGGGGGAATAAGGAAGGGGGAAGGGGGGGGGGTGCTTAAATGCCCTAATGAATGCTCTTTAAGAATCAATGACCCCAATGGAGGAGAGGCAGAGGTCGCAAACGGGTTTTGATTCCTTACCCGTACCCGTACCCGGCTGCACCAGGGTCGCAAACGGGTACCCGTACCCGTACCCTGCCGTACCCGTACCCTACCCGTACCCGGCCAGGTACGGGTAGGGTACGGGTATCGGGTACCTGATTGTGACCTCTGGGATGAAGCCATGTTGCAGGCACGGGTGGGTTGATTCTAGGAACTTGAATTGTGAGAAGAGACAAGACGTTGGGAAATGAGTGACAAACGGTGACTCACCAGTGACTCACGGCCTACCCGTACCCGTACCCGGCCGCACCAGGGTCGCAAACCGGGTACGGGTAGCCGGGTATCGGGTAGGGTACGGGTATCGGGTACCCGGTTGCGACCTCTGAAGAGAGGTAGTGAAGGGGTTTCATGTTTGGTGGTAGGATTCCTCTCTGCCCCTTGGTTTTGCACTTCGATGCTATAGAGCGGCAAATTTTTTCTCCATTTATTGGCCCATTCCTGCAGTGTATGCAATTTCCAGTTGGCTATAATGGTGCGTTTTGCCATAACATTGTATTTTGATCATTTCTATTATTCTCAGCATTGGATATTTTTACTAAATTAAGTATGAGGGTAAAATGAATTATAGCTTTTGCGCAGTCATTGGTGACTGGGCCAAGAACATCAACTCACTACACTTGAGAACTCAGTTTAGTCATTGGTGGTCTCAACCTGAATTTTAATCCTGAAACTCATTGTATGTACGTGTTATGGCGAACTTCTTTCGCACCATACATAGTCAACCGTGCTAATCGCAGTTGCGGGGGAAGTACAGCAAACTAAACACAAAAAGCAGTTCTCAAAAATGTGTTTTTAATCTAGATTTAAAAGAGCATAGCTCCAGTGGCTTCCTAATATCGGAAGGAAGAGCGTTCCAGACGGCCGCAGAACCGCAACTAAAAGCACGTGATGCGGTGACCGTCTTGGCCAGGTGACCCATAAGCCACGTGACCACTTCTCTCCTTGAGTCTTTAATTAAGCAGAACGGTACCTACTCGGTGGGGAGCCTGTAGTTGTCACTTGAGGAGTGGCTGAAGTAGACAAAAAAATACAAATAATATTATTATTTTGATAAACATGATTATTATCATGGTGTATCTAAAAGCAATGTGACTTTTTTTATATATATAATCATTCAGTCTATTCTAGTGCAAATTTTGGTGCATATTAAATCGTAAATGGTGAGGCGGTGCTTATGCATCTTTTTACAGCCCTAAGACCGTGGTGGAAATACCAGACTACTATGTCATGGGTGAGTTTATCCAAATAACAAACAACTGATGACTTCCAACAACCACTTTGCAATGACTTAAAAAGCTCAATAAGGCCTTGGTCCTCAGTACCTGCAGTCCCGTCTGGCCCCCCAGACGTCTGGTAGATCTACCTTGCGTTCCTCAGGCCAGGCCTTGCTAGCTCAAGCTAAAATATTTCATTCTACGCTGGGCGGTAGCAGGGGCCTTCTCCACGTGTCGCGCCGAATATTTGGAACTCTCTTACGCCGGCCCTCATATTGGCTGTGAGCACTAAACAGTTCAGGAACTCTGCAAGCCTCATTTTGTCTTTTTAGCTTTTCCTTGAGTATGTCCTCTAATTTTGATGTTTGTACATGTCTCTTGATGTTATAGGTAGGAGGACTACCTTCGTTTAATTTATACCGTCAATTTCTGCGACGCCCTCTTTACTGGGGGCGAGTTTTTACTAAAAAATTGTATTGAATGAATGAATGAAAGTATACACCCAGTGTATTGACTCCAAAGGGATGATGAGCTGAGTCAAACCCCCAAACAATGATTTGAACTTGCAACGTTCTGGTCACAAATGGGTTTCATTTACCCGCAGAGCCACCAGGCCCAGAACACCTTGTTTCGTTGTTATGCCTTACCTGTTGTCTATACGTGAATGAATTAAAATTGGTTGCTCTAACTTTTAGAGCTCTTCCATTAATTACAAATTGCTTTAACTATTATGGAAGGCAGCTCAATACATTTAGCTAATTCATAAATGCTTTAACCCTTTATTTCAATTAAACAATTTGCCAATTGTATATTTACATGAGAAAGGATGACTTGAGTTTGATGACTCTTTTCAGAATGTTCCTGTCTGAGGATGTTTGGCTATTTCCATTAAAGAAGCATTTGGCATGTGGGAGGAAATGGGAGCGCCCTTAGAAAACCCCACACGCACCAGGAGATAGCACTCAAAGTTCCACGCAGATAATATACAATAGGCAAAATATTTATATATGTGTATGTGCAATGAGTGTACAAATTTCATCTTTGGACCTTACCCACTGATGTATTGTAATCTTCTGTCACGTTACCGACTGTGCAATCAGACATGGAAGTTCATATATTTAACTTTTATTTTATTTACCCCTAACCTTTGGGTGTGTGTGTACATATATATGTATCAAGCGCCATATAGGTTTAATTCGCTTTCATATTTCATGAGTTTCAAAGTGTATTTACTCAGCAATAACACGTAAAAAAAATACTTGGCAAACAGTTTAGGTGTCGTTCCTACTATGTATGTATGAGAATAGGTTTTCCCCTTTTTCTTGCAACAAAACAGGTGTTGAGATGTTAAAACACCAAACTGAAACCTTTTTGAAGCTATTAACATACATTTATTTTCATGTTATAATGTATTATCCGTTCTTTTTCCATTAAAGACGATAGACCTTTATAAGTGTTAACATATTTTTGAAGAAAACCATGTATATATCTGTCGTTTTATGATAACGATTTTATTGTGTCAATATATCAATATACATATTGATTGTTCTATGTCCAATAGAGAGTACTTACACGATGAAGCTTCTCTTTCTTGGGTTGCGTTTGAAGTTGAGCCTGTTAAATGAAAAACATTTAAAAAAATCAATTTCATCTTTATGATTATAATCGAAGTGTCTCACTCAGCAAAGTAACTTTGCATCATTTTGAAGGCTATTTCAGTAAAACTTTGGAATACATTGCAAAGTGAATGGAACATCAAAGGATAAAAGTCAAGCTGATTTCATGCTCGAATTAGCACTGATGTGGTGCTCACCTTCTGCTTGCAACCCTGAGCAAGAGTAGCGGAAATTGGATGTTACAACGGTGGAGCCAAAGTCTCTCCCATGAACAACAACTGTAGACCTCCCCACAAAGTGGCACTGATTTTACCAACAGAGGAGGGATGATGGGCTGACTCAACCACCTTTCAATCGCGTGCCGCTCACTCCTGCCTCTTGCTCTACGTAAGTGCAACACTTGTGGTGATGCATCCAACACGAATGCACATTAAGCTCAACACACTGATTCTAGATTTGAAGCTTTCGTGACTGCAAGGATTCATATTCTTAGATTTTTTTTCGGTAAAGTCACGTAGGTAAAAAAATTAAAATTAATAAAAGTAAAATAAAATAAAAATCACGACGTTTCGGAGGCAACACAAGCTTCCGTCTTCAGGTGGAACCGTCACAGCACGATAGCTGTATCAAGTGAGAGAAATTCCAAGAAAACAGTCCTTGTATATATACTGGTTGAGGGTGGGAGGAGCCAAGGTAGACCCTGAATATTATTTTTGTGAGGTTCGGTGCGGCTGAAGCACGCTCCATAACACTGCTCTAAAAGGGAAACAATACATATTAGAAGGGCCATTGGACGAAATTATGTTGTTTTTTGTTGTTGTAATATGTGCTTATGCATGACAGCCAACGCTGTGACACACTGACAAACGTGTCTTTCTTTGTCTCCTCGGCACTCTGGCCTCTTGAGGTGCATGGTCAAGCAACCTTCATCAAAATGAACTGTGTGCGGAAATTCGGGCGGACGTCGTGGAAACCCAGTCTTAAAGTACATTTACAGATATTCTCTGGGTCTTACGGTAAAGTCACGTAGATAGGTTCAAAGAAAATAACAAAAAGCTACGACGTTTCGATCGCAACACAAGCGTTTGTCATCAGGAAGAGGGGGTTAGCTTCTATAGGGAAACTGTTTATTAAGGTTTGAAATGGGCGTAGCCCAAATGTCAGCAGCCAATGTTAGTGTAAGTGGTGGGCAGCGACCACGACGGTGGTGAGTTTTCCACCAATCAAAGGGCTCCCAAGTAAAAATTAGCATGTTAATGTAAATCGTTGAGCGGCCTCCACGGCCAGCGCCCTGAGGTGGCTATGTTAATGTGAGAGATTAGCGTGTTAATGTGAGAGATTAGCATGTTAATGTGAGAGATTGACATGTTAATGCGTGATCACAGAGCAGCAAACCTCGATGAACGCTTGTGTTGCGATCGAAACGTCGTCGTTTTTTGCTATTTTCTTTGAACATATCTATGCGACTTTACCGAAAGACCCAAAGAATATGAATTCCTGCACTCACAAAAGCGTTTAGTCCATTTACAGAGTTTAAAACATAAGTCAATTTACAGAGATCCGTCACATCAGGCGAGATCTGATTTCTTCTCAAATCCCATTGCGAACAATGTACGAAAAAAACAAGAGCACTTTTTTGCTACGAACGATCGGACGTTAAGGCCACCATCTCAGCCATCCTCTTCCCAATCCAAAGTTGAATGTGAGACATTTATAGCATTCTTCACAGACAAAATGTACAACATCCGAACTCCGGCCCATCTCATCTCACCCCCCCCCCCCCGGCCTCCGTGCTAGATGTTTCCCCCACCTTTCCCCCCCCATACACCATTCTCATAACGTGTTTTTGTGGTTGCCTCTTCAACGGTCGTGAGATTTTATCTCTCAGTTCATTCCCCGTACCAAATCCATTCAAGAATATTCCATTTTACTCTGCCCAAATGTCACCAATTTTGCAATCAATCTCCCATGTCTGGCATTGTCCCTTTGACCTTCAAACTGGCAGCTGTCACCTCCCACCTGAAAAAGACTGTGGCCTCGACTCTTGAGGTTCCAAATAACTATCGCCCAATCTCCAATCTACTCTACATATCCAAGGTGCTCAAATGCCTGGTTGCTTTGCAGTTGAACCACCATATATCCTCTAATTACACATCACTGAAACAGCTCTGGCTAAAATGGTGAATGGCCTTCGGATCACTGCTGACTAGCTCACCCAGTAATCTCAGTTTGCTGGTTCTGAGTTCAGCCTTTGTTTACACCATCGACCATGACATCTTGATTTGCTACTTGGGAAGCATCATCGGGGTCTCAGAAACTGTGCTCCATTGGTTCAGATCTTATATGACTAATTGGGAACGGTTCATATCCACGTGAGATTTTAAATCTGCTCCCAGCGCTATTTCATCTGGGGATCCTCAGGGGTGCCGTTCTTGACGCTCTTCTCTGTTGTATTCATACAGTCCCTCTGGGTCATATTTTCCGACATATTGGCCTAAAATGATATTATAATGTGCACGACACATGTCGGCCACTGGCTTCCTTCAACAGTTGGATGCAACAAAAACTTCCTCCAGTTTAAAAGTGTCAAAGCAGAGGCAATGCTCATCTGATCACCCCCACTAACTACAAAAAGCTGCATGCTTCAGCATTATGATCGAGGGCCAGGTAATCCCTTTGGCACAGAAAGTCAGAAATCTAAGGGTTATCTGCGATCCCACACTGCCCTTAGAGGCTCATTGAAAATATCACAAAAACTCGTTTTTTCCATTTTAGGACCATCTCCCGTATCCAATGCCTTCTCTCTGCTTCAGATGAAGAGAAGATGGTTCATGCCTTCATTTCATCTCGCATTGACTGCTGCAATGGCTTTGTTCCTCGTGTGGCTAGGATTCTCCTGAACAGCCTGCAGTGTGTTCAGATTGTGGCTGCTAGGGTGTTAACCAGAGTTCCTTCTTCAGATCACGTTCTGCCTCGTGTTGGCCTCGCTGCACTGGCTTCCAGTTTCACCTACGATTCAGTTTCAACTTACATAGCTCTGAACCACCTTGCCCCAGCCGACATCAGAGACACAATGCTGCATCCATATGTCCCCTCAAGGTTACTAAGATCGAGGGAATCAGATATTCGCTGTGAGCCCAGGTTAAGGCTTCGGTCGATGGGCGACAAAGCTTTTTTTCCTGAGTAACCCTCAGACTCCGGAACTTTCTTCTGTGGACATCTTTAAAACACATTTTGAAACGTATTTCCTTACTTATGTTTCTTCGACAATGAGTGAATGAAGTCAGCATTTTGTTGCATTAATTATATATTTTAATTTTATGAGTTTTTTTTTATTCTGAGTGTTTCCTGCTCTGTCTTGAACATTGAGATCCTCGATAAAAGGCCGCTATATGAAGTAAATTATTATTATTACCATGTTGTAGTTTAACCAAATGAGACTCTGAAAGGGATGATGAACGTATTGGGATTTCGGAATCAGAATATTTATTTATACTGCAGGAGGAATCTGATGAGCTATGAAGCGCTTTTTCACAGATGTCCAGTCGAGGCGGGTAAGAACGTTACGACAACACACAGTAACAAAAACACGACAGGAGTGCAAAGTACACGCAAGGTAAACAAATCACACAAACACAAACAAATACAACGAAACCATCCCCATCCAAGCAGACAAAGCCCACTGAGGTATTAACATTATCAATCCTAGATTATGTATTAACATTATTTTTCAAAAAGCGACATTCCAGTTCCAAAAGAGATTTCAATGTAGTAGGGATTTCAAAGGTGGGCAGAGGGCATTGAATTGGACGGGCAGACCTATATTGTATTTCTTGCTCCAGGAGCCATGTCGACTTGGCATAAGTGTTCTCACACAGTCAGCGGAAGAGTCTAATCAGCACCGAGCAGCTGCGCTTGGGGTGAAACTCGAGGTTCCGAAGCACCTGTGTTCCCCATCACGAATAGGGAACTTGAAATATGACGTCGTCTTGTAGCCAACAGCTTGCACGTGTCTGGCTGCCATTTTTGAGTTTCGAAACTTCATTGCTGAATAGCCATGCGCGCTATTGGGTTGTGTTCTTTTACATGTTTTAAAGATATTTTTACAAAGTCTATACTTTGTTTTGAATTATCCATAACGGAGTCTGTTTGGGTTAGATCGCGTAAATGTGTTTGTCGTTAAACCCGGCACCGCCCGACACAGCAAATTAGTAAGGTTTGTCGCGTAAACAAAACAGGCCAATCCATTACTAGTTCAGCACAATGATGTGTTGGAGAGTAAACTCACAACATTTACAATTCGAGTACGACGTTTCGCCAGTTATCACAACCAGCCTCATCAGGTGACAGCCAGCCAAAACCTACACGCTAAACTGGGTGTAAAACAAGCCTCACCCAAGGACGCTACACTTGGCGTCACAACCAAGTCCTTAAAAAACCTTGCGTCCGCCCTGGAGGACAAGCGAGCTGCCACCAACTCCCTACCACCCCCAGCAGCATCACACCCCTTACGGACGACCTTTGTCCGCGAAGGGGCTAAACCACCGAAGAGCGGCTCTACACCAATAGAGCGAGACCAGCTGCGCTTGGCCCGCGACTGGAAAATGCTAGCTGACATTGGCCGGCAACTTGTGTTTCCTCCGGAGATCGCAACCACCACCCTAAGACCTGACATGGTGCTCTGGTCCCGTTCGCTCAAGAAGGTCTTCATCATTGAGCTCACAGTACCCTGGGAGGACTCAGTAGATGAGGCTTATGAGCGAAAACATCTGCGCTATGCCGATCTAGCTGCGGAAGCAAGGCATCATGGCTGGAACACAGAAGTCCGACCAGTGGAGGTGGGCTGCAGAGGTTTTGTGGCAACATCTACAACCAGACTGCTTAGAGACCTGGGAATTAAGGGCCACAGCCAGCGTTCGGCAATCAAAGCTGTATCGGAGGCGGCAGAAGGCAGCAGTCAGTGGCTCTGGATGAAGAGGAAAGACCCCAGCTGGGCCCCAAAGTGAGAGGGCCAGGAGGTATGCAGTCAACAATGCTTGACTCAGGGAGGAGGACGCCCCTGCCATGCATAGTCCCATGGGATGTTGGCTACCAACAACAAGGCAACTCCTATGACTTATTGGGAATGGGACGCAAGCGTAGGATTGATCACCCTGTCGCTGGCCGCCTTTGGGGAGGGTGTATATTATGAAAGGCCGAAACACCCTAGGAACCAAAGGGTCACTACTGACGATGCGCTCCCCAAATTTCACCAGGCTCACTGTTCATGAACTCTTGGAAGTGCTTGCACAAAGGATAGTAACATCTCATCCTGTGTTCTTTGGAATCTGAATCGCGTGTAAAAAAAACTCGGAGACACCCTATAAAAATATTATAATAATTGTAATTATTTCCCATTGTGAAAATTATATATACAGGATGGAGTTTTAATTCATAAACTGTTAATTGGCACCCCGTGGTTCCATCAACTAATCTGTCCACCAGTCCCATTATATTTAATATAATTACTGTAACTTTACTATTCATAATTTGCAGTGCTTTACTCACCTATTGCTGGTTAGAGACATCCCCACGTCAATTCAGTCGTGTGCATTGTTTGACCATAGTTCACCACAGTGGTCAGTGTGTGTGGGTTGGTTGAAGTGGTAGCCAGGGGTGCATCAGTTAAAACTTAAAAATACTAAACTATTTTTTATCTTACCAGGTAAGGCTCACTGAGCTATATAACTTCTTTTTCAGAAGCGACTTGGCCACAAATGATAGCTCAACGACGTGGCATATCACCTGGACATTTATAGCAGCCAAATACTCTCAACGCATGTTTCTAAATGTAGAGGGAAAATCCGGAGGACCCAGAGAAAAATCCACGCGACCACAGGGAGAATATGCTGACTCCAAATATTCAGACATCGTCAGGGTCGGGATCGAACCCATGCGTCCTGCCTACCATGTGGGGTAGTTAACACCTCGCCATCTGATGTTAACGTTAATCATGGTTAAGAATCAGGCTCAGGTGACATCATTCAAAGTGCTGTGCGCTAACTACTCTGACGCTGCTCCTCCCCCATCATTATTGACAGGGGTGACGGCATGGTTATACAATAACAATGGTAATTATTTTCCCAGGAAATCCCCACCACATCTCAATAATTATTTTTAAGGATGGTCCTGCAATTTGGGTTGTCTACACAATGGGATTCCATTAATGAGTGGCTTCTTTGTGAGAGGAGGCCGGAGTACTTGGAGAAAATGGAGTGAGTGTTGTTCAGCAATGCTATCCCATGACAATCTCGCAGTCCCATGCCTACATCCCCTGTTAGAGCCTCGTGGTCACCCATGCATGTACAATTCAAGTGCTTAGCTTGGAATATCTGGCAAGATCGGATACATTTAGGATGACTTAGTCGGTGGCAACACGTGCATCTGTGTGTAATTTTAGTATCTCAATCAATGCACATTTTGTCTGTTTCTTCCTAATTTACACTCGACGCAGCAAAGCATCCAAAGGTGATCACCACGAAAAGCCGAGCAATGAACGCGTCGTTGACGTTTTCGAACGCTATACAACCTGCAATCATTTACCTGTGCTTGATGTCATGGCGATTGTGCTTGATGTGGCGTTCGCAGAAGGCGTGGTGTTCGCAGAAGACGTATCATTTGAAGATGGGACATTGGTTTGTGCAACGCACACTGCGCCTGTGATGACAGTACAGCCAGCAATACGTTTCACGGGCCTGATTTTAAGTCAACCTTTTTATAAAAAACAAAATTGCAATAAATTACAAAACAAAGTCAGAACGAGACATGTCAAATACATTGCGAAGTTGATTGTTATTGTAAGTGGAGCTTGCTGTCCCTTATAGCTATGAAACCGTAGGGAAATGATTCATGCTGGCAGGAAACATTTATAAGAAAACTACTCTGACTATTATATTCTTGGTTCTGTCGGTAAAGTCACTGTAGAAGGAAAACAATAAAATAATAAAAATATAAGACAATTAAATTCTCACGACGTTTCGACTGCAACACAAGCAATCATCATCATGTGTGAAATCCACAACAATAAATTTATAAAAAAAGTGACTTTGAATCAAAATTTACTCTGACTATTGTTATACAACATCCTATTTATTAAATTCTTTATATTAAGTTCACTTGCTTGCTTGCGCGCTTACGACCGTGCAAATCTTTCGGTCGTTTTTTAACCCACTTCCCGTGATCCAATCGAGCTGACATTTTGCACACAGACTCGTTGTGCGTGACAATTTATTTTCGTGAAATTTTTTTTCAAAATTTTACACTTTTTAGGAAAAAAGAAATTATATTTAATTACCAATTGCTTACTGGTGGCAGGCAATCATCTGACCCATAAGTGGCAGCCATCTCAAGCCAGAGGACTAGAGGACTCTATCCGCCACGCATATAAAGGATTTATAGTGAAAAACTTTGTTTTAACGGGTTAATTTTATGCACTGCAGTGTATACACATTTCACACTTTAAAAAGTCAATGACAATCCTGCCACTCTATAACAAAGAGTATGACCAATTACTCTCGTCAATTATCGTAACACGTGGCCATGGTTTTAATTGCAAATAATATTCATTGGATTAAATGGGAGAAAAAAATACCCTTTGAAAAACATATTTTGATCGTCAAACTTAGGACGCAGTTAAAACGTGCAAATAGAAAACATGGGTGGTATATAGAAGAAATAATGTGGCCACAAACAGGCGATAAGGAAACATGCTGTGCGTGGCCGTTAGTCTCGCGATTAGGTACTGATTATTATAAATGCATTATTTATATATTTGTTTGTTTCCCGTGCCCCCGCAATTTTGTGCCATGATGGTAAAAAAAAAATCCATTTATAATTCTCAAAGAGCAGCCCCTGTATTCGACAATGATCTACGGAATCAAATTTTGCAGAAATACATCTGAGATCCCTCTTCAGGTGACATTTTCTTCACACATTAGAGGGGGCAGAACTTTTATACCTGACCTGCTGCTCAATCATGTTCATGGCACAACAGTGAAAAGTTTTCTATTTTTTAAGTCTCACAACTAGATTTCAATTCAATTGATTGCAAAACCAAATTAATCTTGACGGGGTTTTTTTTGTGTCGTCTATACCGGGGCTGAGACCGATCAATTCAATGCTTTTGTGACTGCAGGGATTCATATTCTTGGTTCTTTCGGTAAAGTCACGCAGAAGGGAAATCATAAAATAATAAAAATATAAAACAATAAAATTATCACGACGTTTCGACTGCAACACAAGCAATCATCATCAGGTGTGACATCCACAGCAAGAAAATTTGCTTGCTGAGAATTTTATTGTTTTATATTTTAATTTTATTTTTTTATTTCCCTTCGACGTTACTTTACCGAAAGAACGAAAAAAATATATATATTTTTTAATCAAACTAATCCTGCTTACTACCATAGTAAAACATATTTTTAAAAATAATCTGGCAACCAATAGCTGTATTCCATGAACTACAAGTATTCTCGATAATATTTGTAATCATATCTTCACTAATTGTCACTTTACTTGTTTTGCATTTTGAGGTAAAAAAACAGATGTTCGCCTTCACTGTCACTCTCATAATGTTACAATGCAGTATTTTGCATGCTGTATCTAGCTAAAGCGAATGTTGTACAACTTTCTGCCACACATAAAAAATACCATGAAATAAAAAGTTTTAAATCTATACATATCACAAGAGTAATGTAATCAGCCTAATTATGAATAAACGTTGAATACTAATGATCCGTCAGTTTAACATTAGTTGACACTGATTTTTATTTTAGTTTCCACAGCATCCAAAAAGTATTTCTTCGTTGACACTTAATCAAAATTGTCGTTATCAAAGCTCACATACACGCGACATTAACATACATTCTTAGCCAAAAACGATTGCAAGCCAAATCTGAAAAGTTTACAGAAGCCCTTAAAAGCAAACATTTCTGCGTTCCAACAGACGGGCAACGCCTTAAAAGCGTAAGCCTAATTTATCGTTGGCACAATTAATCATCCAAAGGTGCAAGTAACAATCCGATGATGAGACAGGGAACCTGCAAACCAGGGTTAACTCACCAAGCAGTCCAAGGATGAGCAGACGATACATTTTCGTAGAAAGTAAATGAAAATAAATGTAATGTCTGGGGTGGGGGAAAAAAATGGTGCGCGGATCTCTGAAAGAAAACTAGCTACCGTGTTGTACGTTTATAAAGATGGGGTTGACTTTATCTAAGTGAGCAGAGTTTCCTGTCGCCTACACCGTACAGCCCTTACTTCCGCAAAACTCTGGCTCACACACTCACACACAATCTGCGCAGCAGATGCGGGGAGCATGTGGAATACTTAAGAAAAAGAATCGCAAAGCACACACCCCAAAATATTGTTTGATGTGCTTCAATCATTCCAGTTATACTTTTTGTATACTGCATATATATGCAGTTGAACCGTTAATTTAGAATTTGCCCTGTGAGCTAAGAAGCTCTTGAATCGGGTTTGATCAACAAAACAAACAAAACATATTAAATTAAAAACACAACGTTTGCAACAGGTCTCGTGAAAATTAAAAATACAATGAATACAGCAATTAAAAAAGTCAACAAATTGAAATAATTTACAATATATTGCTTAATTAAAAATTAAATACTTATCTAAAGTGAACATTAAGATTAGAGAAACATATTGCAAAACAAGGGATAGAAGCGCCTTTGGTAATGATAATCATATTTTAGCCGGAATACCCTTTGAGATGGAACATCTCGTTTGCAAGGGTGTCCAGGATGCCAAGTGACACACACAGACACCGAATCTAACATTTGAGATAAATGCCATATTCAGTGCATGTTTATACAATTTCGTGTACTTTAATTCTGAAGTGTGTCTGCCTTTTACCTGGTATTCTTAGGATTTTTCGGTAAAGTCACGTAGGTAAAAAATGTCAATTAATAAAAGTAAAATAAAACAAAATAAAAATAAAAAAATCACGACGTTTCGGAAGCAACACAAGCCTCCGTCTTCAGGTGGAACCGTCACAACCACGACAGCAGTATTTATTTACCGAAAAAACCTAAGAATATGAATCCTTGCAGTCACGAAAGCTTCAAATCTAGAATTTTTACCTGGTAATCATAAGTAACCAGTAAATATGCCAACGTTGAAATAACGTTGGACCAACAAGCCATGTTCACTGGGTACTTTAGACATAAGTTCCGTGTTCGAACAAAATATCTTAGGAAACCATACCTAGGATTTTATAATCCTGCAATTGTAATAACATACAAGATTCACATTTACACGAGTGGTACTTTGTGCTGTCACGGCAGATGGAATTGCGGATTTGGTGTGATAAATATTATACATTCTCCAACATTTATTAACCGAGTGTGATATTTTCACTGCAAATATTGTGCATAACGCAGTGGTCTAAATTAAAACGGGACATTTGTTCAATAATTACTTTCATATATTATTAAGAGCCACCTTGGGATTTAGAATTTGTGCTGCGAGAGGGTGTTTGTTGTTACATTTAATATTTTTGTTTACTGCGTGGTGATCCGGTATTTTTTGCGGGGTCTGTTGAATGGTGTTTTTTCTTTCAGTAATAGATATTAAATCAATGAATAAAACCCATTATCATCAGCAACGATCAATCCACTGCAGGAGAATGGTCACCCCAAGCCACCATGATCTTTCACAGTCCCCCAACGATGCAATCCAGCGCAACACGTTAGGTTTTCGTGACCAATATTATTCATAAATGTGTCGTTAAACCCCGCCACCACCCGACACAGCCAATTATTAAAGTCTGTTACGTAAACAAAACATGCCAATTGGTTACGAGTTCAGCAGACCGGTGTGTTGGAGAGTAAACCCACAACATTTACAATCCGAGTACAACGTTGTGGATTTACTCTCCAACACATCGGTGTGCTGTACGAGTAGTGAATTGGCACGTTTCGTTTAACGTGACCAGCCTTACGTTACAATTCACCGCACTGCCTGGCGAGCCGATTTATTCTCGAGCGCTGGCCACCGTCCCATCGAGCGATGTGTCCATCCCAAGCCCCACTTTTCTTAAGTCAGAATCGTGCCAATAACCTTTGTACGTTTTGCAGATCCATGGCGGCTAGTCCCCCCCCCCCCCCTTTCTATATATTTTAATGTATTTTCAAGCATGCTTCTTTCCACGACTCTTTGTACATTGTTCGGTTTTAATGTTCCATTTATGCGATGCAGTAGAAGCCCGATATGAACACACCTTAAATAAGCACTGTTGGGATATAAGCAACGCATCATCGCGTCATTCTTGTGGGGGCGCAAGGCAAAGGGCAACTTCGAAATAAGCTCAGAGGTAGAGAAAGAGGCTCGCAATCACAAGGTTGTGACTTCAAATCCTGGTTGGAGGTCCATTATCTCTCTGGGGTCACAATTAAACAAGTGCTACTGTGTGCGGGGAATTCAGCAGTGGTTGTCCTATGGAACGACTTGCCCTCGCCATGGGAATGTTGAATTTACACCACTGGCTCAAGGCTGTAAACACAAGATGAGTGCTGCCTTAATCATAATTTAAGAAGGAAATGTTGTGGCTTGGATCGTGACTCCAATATAAACACGTTCCTGCGGAGGGAGCTGGTAGGAACGTTGGGTTGCTCGGTCAATGGCCAGGTTCAACGGCGGCGTGGTGTATTCCGCAAATATGGCCGACTGTGAGGGCGGGCACAAGCCGGCGTGAGTAGGTTAAACGTTGAGTTTAATAAGGGCACCACGGGGTGACCAGCCCCTCCCCACCCAGCCCCACCCCTCCCACCCCCCACCCAGCCCCACCCTCCCCACCCAGCCCCTCCCCACCCTCCCCTCTACTCTCCACCCAGCCCCACCCCTCCCATTTTTGGATGCACGACGGACGGACGGACACAATAATCCCCTGTGGGTTGGTGTAACCAGGAGGTTCCTACCAGTATAATAACTGTTGTACAATATACTATTACAAAGGCAGGTGTACTAAACAGGGCCCATTGTAAAAGTAGCTCTAACAGGTGCCAGTTTGGTCACACGCCATATACAGTGTTGCGATTGTACGTTGTTCATTATTTAACATCCCACAACTTCCTGATGACACACACTGAATGTTTCAGTCTGGGTGTGGTTCTTCAAGAGAGCGTGGCAAATGGAAATTGTTGCGACACGATCGTTATGATTCGCAATACGCCATGGCCTAACAAACGCTATTCTGTTAAGCAACTGCACATGGTAAACGTTGGACGTCCAGGCGTCACTGTGAACATGCTCACATGCACCACAAATTGACGGATATCGCTGCACGCACGGTGTTGCCCCCCTTTGCTCTCTCGTCCGTTTCGACGTCGGCGGCGTTCATGAAATTTACGCCCCTTTGCCAATCCACTGCTGGATAAGGGTCTCGCATTGTCAGTCATGGGGTTAAATTTCGATTTAAAGCTTTCGTGACTGCAGGGATTCATCGACTTTGTTCTTTCGGTAAAGTCACGTAGAAGGGAAGTAATAAAATAATAAAAATAAAACAATAAAATAACAGGTCTGTCGAGAAGACAGCGCCATTCAGACGCTGTCTTCTCGACAGACCTGTTCTTCACCTGAGGACGGCTGCTTGCGTTGTGGTCGAAACGTCGTGAGAATTATTTTATTATGTTTTATTTTTATTATTTTATTATTTCCCTTCTACGTGACTTTACCGAAAGAACCAATAAGAATCATGGGGTTGTTGTTGTTGTCAGATGCCACTCGTCAATGATGTACGTGTGTGCGCTGAACTTCTTTCGCGCCGTACGTAGCCAACCGTGCCAATCGTTGGTGCGGGACGGTGTGAGCCATGGTCGGGAATCGAGCCCAAAGGCAAAATAATGTTCTTGCACAAGCACTGCCAGTGGAGTGGGCCCTCGGGCTGGTGTTGTGATTTCGGGTTGTACCGCGCGTGCTGTCCGGTGTGATCCTGAGAAGCTCCCGGCACGTGGAACGAAACGTCGGACATCATGCCGAGCAACACGCGCTGCAGCCCAAAAACACACCGGAGAGCCAGTCCACCCCACATTGTGTCATGACGACTCACGACGATGACAGTGGCAGCTGTGAAATGTATGACCCTTTGCCACTCCACTGCTGGATGAAGGCCTCCCTCGTGCTGTGTAGGTGATGGGGGGTCTGGTTGACGTACTTCACCACACTGTTAGCCGTGGCACTGCGCCCACTGACTCAAACTGCGTGGTTGACTTCCTTCTTTCATCGTCGTCGTCGTCACTGCGGTCGTTCGGCACCGTCGTTTATTATTCATATCGCACGAAATACGACGCAAAAAAAAGGTGAGTCACACACCAACGGCGAGAACGTTAAGTTGCGACGGACAAATGAAACTTTCAAAACCACGATTCATCAAGCAACAATAGCTGGTGGCAACAGCGATCGTCAGCGACAAAAGCATTGGAGGGAATCGAACACTGGAAGCAATTACCCGCACAAGGTATATTAATACTGGTAGGAACCTCCTGGTTACACCAGCCCACAGGGGATTATTGTGCCTGTCCGTCGTGCAGGGAGGGGCTGGGTGGGGAGGGAGGGGAGGGGCTGGGTGGGGAGGGTGGGGAGGGGCTGGGTGGGGAGGGAGGGGAGGGGCTGGGTGGGGAGGGTGGGGAGGGGCTGGGTGGGGAGGGTGAGGCTGGGTGGGGAGGGTGAGGCTGGGTGGGGAGGGTGGGGCTGGGTGGTGAGGGGCTGGTCACCCCGTGGTGCCCTTATAAAACTCAACGTTTAACCTACTCACGCCGGCTTGTGCCCGCCCTCGCAGTCGGGCATATTTGCGGAATACACCACGCCGCCGTTGACCCTGGCAATTAACCGAGCAACCCAACGTTCCTACCAGCTCCCTGGGCAGGAATGTGTTTGAGGGTCGAGTCCACGAAAGTTTCAAATAACCTCCACTGACGTTCGCTCCCGAACTCCGGTCACCTGGGTTCACACTAGCCACTGTGCTCCCTCCCCACCCGTTATCCACTGTTACACACAGACACTCAACGAACATCCAGGCGCTCGGATTGAGAGAGGAAGCAATGCGTTTGATTAATTATTTGGCCGCTATAAATTAACAAATGATAAGCCCCACTTCGTTGAGCTATTCATTTGTGGCCAGGTCGCTTGCAATAAATTAGTTATATTGCTCAGTGGGCGTTACCTGATTTAAAACATATAAATAGTTTAATTTCGTTTTATCTTTGCTTAAAAAATAATGAAAACAAATTATTGG